GAGGAGATTCAGAGATTCAGACCTATCGCGAAGCGAATCTGATATAAATTAAGACCCAGCCTCCATCTCAGCTTTACTGAGAGCTTTGGGCGTGAGGCCTCTGGCTATTCGGTCAAGGTATTCCTTGCCAGTTCTGGTCGGTTACTTGCATTCCTTGGCGAGGCCTCTCAACTGCTGTGAGCCGATACTCCCGCAGGGAGGAGGAGCAGGGAGGAGGAGGAGGAGGAGGAGGAGGAGGAGGAGGAGGAGGAGGAGGAGGAGGAGGAGGAGGAGGAGGAGGAGGAGCAGGAAGAGGCACAACAACCTACGTGAGCCCTACGTGAAGCCGGCATTTGCGACATCGCAGTCGAACCATGGATTCGCCTACCCACTGGGCCGGGCAATTTGGGTCTCCGCGCGGACCTCAGGTGCACCGAGCGGCCTGGTCAGGGCCTAGATTGTGTTCAATACAAGGGGCTCTCGCGGAGCCCATCTTCCCTGTTCGTGGTCTCCCGCAAGGCGACTCCATGGCACCCGCAACTATGATAGCTACGCTAGTTACATGGCAACCAGCCTGCAAGGGCCATTGCTTTATGGATGACCGCTCTCTAGTTGCACAGAATTCTGACTTACTCGCATATGATCTGACCATGACGCAAAGCTTCGACTCGTCCATCGGGTACCGCGAGAATGCATCCAAGCGACAAATGTGGTTTGAAGAAGATTCTGAGGACATCCTCATCGAGCGCATCGGGATCGAAGCAGCCCCAGCGAATCCGAACCATCCGATTCTCCCTCGAGGTGGGTGGCAGAAACTCACGAACGGCATTGCGGTGTTGGCTTCTATTCCTGGGTTTCGACAGGTTCGGTTGAGGTAGGCGCTGGCATATCTACGACCACTATGGTTGTGGGCGAGTCCACTTGTTATCCCACCCCCCGCCAAGTTCGCTCGGTCTCTCGTGGAGGCGATATGGCGCACCTCGTATACCTGGTGGTGCTACGGGAGGTGGTGGGCTCAGAACGTGCTACTCCATCCAGTCTTCTCTGCCGCGATCTTTCGGATCAAGAATGCGACAGACACGAAGCTGGCGTTTTTTTTTTTTTTTTTTTTTTTTTTTTTTTTTTTTTTTTTTTTTTTTTTTTTTTTTTTTTTTTTTTTTTTTTTTTTCTTCTTTTCTTTCGGAACGCCGATGATTCATCATGTCAAGACCCTGTGGCTCCAGTACATCAGGTTCTCGGAGGCCCGAGGAGCTCCTCTTGAAATGGATCCAGCAGACGATCACAGGATTCACAAAGCAGTCTAACTTATTGTTGATGACAGGTGGCGGTTCTGGTCATCCTCGGCATCAGCGCAGCACGCGATCAGGGTCATAGCTCGAGTACGGTGTCTCCAACAGGTGAACCGCAATAGGCATGATGCTGAAGAGGTTGATGCTGTGGATGTAGATTTGTGTTCACATAAGAGTTTTACGAAAGGGGGTGGCTTCCTTTCCAGAATCCGAACGTGTCATGTCCAGTATTTTCCGCAGTGAGGCTGTGACCTCAGAGACGAGAAGACGTACATAATGTCCATGTAAGTATTGTGGCGACATCACGCCATTTTTCAGACATTATTGGTCGTGTCCGCACTGGCGACGAGAGCGAGAAGTTATCCAACTTCGGTTGGTACTGCCGGCTGGGTTCTGGACATCCGTCTCTCGTGTGACCACTAAGTCTGTTTGGATATGCTATTCGCAGGCTGAAGATCGCAGCGATCGAGTTCGAATGTTGCGAGCTGCGTGCGAGATGGGCCATGCAGTTTTTAATCAGGACATGGAGGTGTGCTGACTGATCCCAGTTCGATGGTGTCTATGCGACGTCGTCATTAATTTGGAGATCACCAGTTCGATTGACTACCAAGTGAGCTTCTACCTCATCAGATAGGGTGTCGTTCTTCCATCTTTTATACATTCGCTGTGGCGTGCACCGGCGCTGTGGTGCACGAGAGCACCGTGGTGTACAGAGGCGCTGCGTTTCATGCGGTTGTTGCGGCGTGCGCAGGCGCCGCGGTGTACGCGAGCGCTGTGGTGCGCGCGAGCACTGTGGTGTAGACGGGCGGTGTGGGGCAGATCGCCACCTACATGCTGCTCGCGTCGTCGTCGTCGTCGTCGTCGTCGTCGTCGTCGCTCGTCGCTCGTCGCTCGTCGCTCGTCGCTCATCGTCGTCGTGCGCGCGGGCGCGGCTGTGGCGCCGGAGCCGTGCGGCGGGTGGGAGGGCGTCACGTCGCGCCCCCCCCGCCCCCCCCCCCTCATGACGCCCGTCGTCGCCGATGATGCAGAAGCGCGCTCTGAGACCCTTCCGCGCGAAGCTGGCGGCGCCAACTTCAGCGATGCGAGGCGCTACCTGGATCAGGTGCAGCGCTGGCCCTAGCAACGCGAAGGCCCCGTCGTCGAAGAAGCATCTGTGGAGGCCCCCTCGCATGCGTTCAGGCTCGTCCTGGGGTAGCTCTGAGAGGCTGGAGTGGAGGCAGATTGGGAATCTGATTTCCAGGTCCAGTTCACGTAGGCCCGCCTGGGCCTCTTTAGCGCATGCTGACATGACGTAGTTACAGACGACGTCCCCGAGTTGTTGTCCTAGGGCCGCCCCAGACAGAGTAAACGCGACCCCCGTGGTCCCAGGGTACCAGAAGCAAGAGCTTTGGTAACTGTCGGCCGCCAACGTGCGCGCATGCTGAGATACCCCTGCGTTTTCTAACGCTGTAGGGTGGTTGGAGATGTGCTGCTTGAGGTCTTCGACTGCCGCCTCTGGTATCCCTGCCGTCCTTGCAACGAGGCGCGGGTCATTGTCGCCGGTGCCTAGCTGGGGCGCTAATTCCCTCATGGCACGGTAAAAGGCACAAATGGCAGTGATCATGACAACGAGGGTGACGTCTTAAGGAGAAGCGCCAGTTCTTGAAAACATCGTAGGGCCAGAGCTGCCAGGTCGACTCCTCTTCCTTCGATTCCTTCTTACTGCGAGTCTCCAGCCTCGTGGGGTAAGGCCTTCACCAGCGGGGCTCTGGGCAGCTGTCGGTATTTTTCCCAACCTGTGAGGAAGTCATGGCAGCTCGGTGGTTCTTGCATCTTGCTGGGTTAGCCTTGCGTTTCCACATGTTCCAGTAGTTCCCCCCCTTCCGCTTCAACGGCTTCAGGGTAGTAATGTGAGGCAATGCTGGGCCCGAACTTGCGTAGGGGTGCACCTGGTGTGCCGTCCAGGCTGGCCGCTGACCTCTTGGCCGTCGCACAGGCCCGTTGAAATTCGGCTAGGGGCGGCACGAGTAGGTCTTCAGCTGGAATTCCCCTGCTGAGGCTGTCTGGCAAAGGTGGTAACGTTGACCGAAAGCCGGCTGCTTCATGCGTCGACACAACAACTCCTACTTCCTCATATGCGAAGTGTCTTAGCCTTTGTCCGCTGCCTCCACGTGAGCGATTGCCATGGCCCCGTCCTCTAGCTGCACCGTGGGAAGAGGAGGACATCTAAGACTCATCGCCGATTTTGTCATAAGCCCTCCGATTCTGTCATAAGCCCTCCATCCAAGCTCCCGCTTCAGAGGCCCCTGCAAAGGTTCACCCCCGCTCAAGGAGCTGCATGGTTGGGATAGAACAGTTGGAATTCACTCAAACTTGCCAGAACACCATTCTCCGGACCCCAACGCGACGAATCAACACGACTCTTGCGTCCCGGAGGAGGAGGAGGAGGAGGAGGCGGAGGCGGAAGAGGAGGAGGAGGAGGAGGACTCGTGGAAACTCAAGGGTCATCAACGATGTTGGAAATAATCCTACCGCCAAGCTCCCTCTTCATAGGCCCCATGCAACGGTTCATTTCCATTGAGGGAACTGCCTCTTTGGAAGACAACAGTTTGCAGATCCTGAAGCGTGCCAAAAGATTGTTCGCAGGATCTCAACGCCACGTATCAACCTGATTGCTGCGTCTTGACGATCCAGAATCGTGCCAGGAGGCCATTTTTGGAATTACAGCACAGTGAAACAACATACTTGTTGCGCCCGCATAGTCCTGAATCCTTCCAAACCAATATTTCTGCTGCGCTGATCCTGGGAATCCGTGGAGCTCTTCCAAATGTTTGAACGAATGGGCGCGGCGCTAAGGCGAGAGTTACTTTTTGAAATCGACCCGCCCTCAATCCGTGAAGCTCTTGCAACTGTTTGAAACGAATGTGCGCGTCGCTAGAAAACGAAAACCACATTTTGAAAAGGAACCGCCCTCACTCCGTGAAGATCGTGCAAACACGTCAACCGAATGGACGCGGCGTCAAGGCAAACGCCACATTTTGAAAACCACCAGCCATCAATCCGTGAAGCTCTTGCGAAGTTTTGGAACGAATGTGCGCGGCGCTAAGGCGAGAGCCGCATTTTGAAAACCACCAGCCTTCAATCCGTGAAGTTCTTGCAATTTTGAAAAACGAATGTGCGCGGCGCTAATGCGAGAGCCACAACATGAAAACGAACCGCCTTCAATCCGTGAAATTCTTGCAAATGTTTGAAGCGAGTCTGCGCGGCGCTAATGCGAGAGCCACATATTGAAAACGACCCGCTTTCAATCCGTGAAACCCTTGCAAAAGTTTCAAACGAATGGGCGCGGAGCTGAGGCGAAAATGCATTTTGAAAGCGTCCCGCCCCCAATCCGTGAAATTGTTTTCACATTTTAAGCTTCAGAGTTATCAACGGTGAGGAAATCTCAGCCCCCCCCCCCGGCCCGCCCAAAACATTGGCCTCGGGGTGCGACAGGGAGGAGCTATCTATAAAGAGAAGGAGTGGTGGAGGAGGAGGAGGAAGACCAGTAGAAACCGAAGAGCCATCAAAGATGTTGGAATAAACCCTCCGTTCCAAGCTTCCTTTTCATGGGCCCCTACAACGGTTCATTTCCATTGAGGGAACTGCCTCGTTGGAAAACAACAAATTGCAGATCCTGAAGCGTGCCAAGACATTATTCTCGGGATTTCAACGCCACGGATCAACCTGACTGCTGCGTCTTGACGATCGGAA